ATAGTTTTATATTGCATCACTTAGGATTCAGTTTGGCCAACAATTACACAAACGTGACAGTAGTGGCTTCACCTAGAAGTTTTTCTCTCTCGGGGCGCCTGGGTGGCTCAGTCAGTTAAGTGTCTGCCTTTGGCTCAGGTCATGATCCTGTATATGCGTGAGCTGGGGGAAGGGACAGAGCAAAAGAGAGAAAGAATCTCAAGCAGACTCCATGCTGAGCTCAGAGCCTGATGGGGGGCTGATCTCAGGAAATCATGACCTGAGCCAAAATCTAAGTCAGATGCTCAACCGACTGAACTACCCAAGTGCCCCTAAAGTATAATACTTTAAAACAGGGTTCAGCAAACCTTTTTTGTAAAGAGCCAAGTGGTAAATAGCTTTGGTTTTGTGAGCCATATGATCTGTGTTGCAACTACTTACCTCTACAGTTGGAGTGCAAAATCAATCATAGATAGTATGTAAATGAATGAGTATGGCTGTGTTCCAATAAAACTTTATTTATAAAAACGGGCTGGATTTGGCTTGCAGGCCACAGTTGGCTGGCTCTTGCTTTAAAATGTTTTCATGTTAGAAAGAATGCATTCTTCCAAATATGCTGAATCTTTTTTTAAGATTTATTTATTTGAGAGAAAGAGTGAGCAAGAGAGAGAGAAGGAGCAGGGGGAGGGGCAGAAGCAGACTCCCCACTGAGCAGGGAGACAGACGTGGGTCTCAATCCCAGGACCCTGAGATCATAACGAGCCAAACGCAGACACTTACCGGACTGAGCCACCCAGGCACCCCAAATATGCTAAATCTTAAGGACCAGTTAGTGAGTCACTCTTTCATTATTCGTTAGATTATTTTATCCAGTGAGACAATATAAGTTGTTAAGGACTTACATAATTATATTGGTAACAATAGCATTTATGTTTATACGCAAGCTTTATAAAATTTGTATTTATGAAAGTTTCATTTGTAAAATATTAGATCAGAAGATGTACAGAAAAGAGTTATGTAAACATTGAAGAGCCTGTTGGATTCTGAGATAATATAGAGGTTGAGATATTAAAAGGATGAACATAAATACACAGATATTGGGGCGCCTGGGTGGCTCAGTTGGTTAAGCGACTGCCTTCAGCTCAGGTCATGATCCTGGAGTCCCGGGATCGAGTCCCGCATCGGACTCCCTGCTCAGTGGGGAGTCTGCTTCTCCCTCTCACCTTCCCCCCTCTCATGTACTCTCTCTCTCTCATTCTCTCTCTCAAATAAATAAACAAAATCTTTAAAAATAAATAAATAAGTAAATAAATACACAGATGTTAAAGATGGTAGGGTAGAACAAAAAAAGTGAGAATGTAATACTTTTTGATAGTAACTTTAATTGTTTTACCTCTTTTTTAAGTTATATTCATTAAATTACTATTTTAAATTTTCTCCAGGTTGTTGAGTGGAGCCCAAAATAAGAGAAGATAGATGTTGAAGGAAATTAATATGGAGCTTTTTGGTTACATAATAGTAGGAAAATAGGTTGGGAATAAAAAAGGCACCGTGTCTCACAGTTTATTTATTTATTTATTTATTTTTAAAGATTTGTTTATTTATTTTGAGAGAGAGAGAATGAGAGAGAGAGAGAGAGAGTACATGAGAGCGGGGAGGGTCAGAGGGAGAAGCAGGCCCCTCGCCAAGCAGGGAGCCCGATGCGGGACTTGATCCCAGGACTCCAGGATCATGACCTGAGCCGAAGGCAATTGCTTAACCAACTGAGCCGCCCAGGCGCCCCCGTGTCTCACATTTTAAACCCAATTAATTTACGATTGTTTGCTAACATGTTTTTCCTACTGAAAATCTAGTTCCATTGAAACCTAATAGACATAGTTCAGACCAATAGTTTGTTGGTAAATCAGAAGGGTCATTTAAAATAAAAGACCATTTTAGGGCGCCTGGGTGGCTCAATTGGTTAAGTGACTGCCTTCGGCTTAGGTCATGATCCTAGAGTCATGGGATCGAGTCCCACATTGGGCTCCCTGCTCAGCAAGGAGTCTGCTTCTCCCTCTGACCCTCTTCCCTCTCGTGCTCTCTATCTCTCATTCTCTCTCTCTCAAATAAATAAATAAAATCTTTAAAAAAAAATAGACCATTTTAAAAAACCATATATTAAACATTAAGCATATTAAAGTATATAAATATGTAATTATTTGCCAAACTTTTTTCTAGAACCTTTTCTTTGAGAGTAAGTCTGCTTCTAGAGTTTGGAGTGAAGTGTACATAAACCAGGAAATTCATGGTTTATTATTTCCAAGTTTTTTGTTTTTGTTTTAAGTGCGGTGAAAACTTATTTGTGAATCAGTCTTGGTACAGAATTCTTATAGACATTTTCTTCTAGACTTTTACAGTTGTATTACCCATATTAAAAAGATTTTTGGAGCACCAAAATCTTTGGGTGGCTCACTTGGTTGAGCATCTGACTTTTGATTTTGGCTCAGGTCATGATCTCGGGGTCCTGGGATCGAGCCCTGTGTGGACCTCCATGCTCAGTGTGGATTCTGCTTGAGATTCTCTCTCCCTCTTCCTCTACCCCTCCCTGTATGCTTTCTCTCTCTCTAATGAATAAATAAAATCTTTAAAAAAAAAAAGATTTAAAAAATAATTGTCTTTTCAAAGCATTCAGCATAGTTCACGTAGAAAAACAACTTATTTTCTACCCTAGTATTCGTTGGTTAAGTAATAATTGTAAAATTATGTAATTTCAATATCAAATCTATTGACAATAAAAGACTTGGAAAAAGAAAAATGATGCTCTGTAAGCATTCATCTCAACTGGTAGGAATGGAGGTATGCAGGCGTAGCTTCAAGTGGCCGACTGAGTGTTGAGCATTGCAAGCCTCAGTATACTTTCCTGGTTGAGAATTTTATGTTTTGAAAAAGATTCAAGAAAGTTTCAAAATTCTATACATAGTATGATCTAAATTTTATTTTTAAGAAATAGAGTTTATATATGCATATGTATAGATAGTTTTATATTGCATCACTTAGGATTCAGTTTGGCCAACAATTACACAAACGTGACAGTAGTGGCTTCACCTAGAAGTTTTTCTCTCTCGGGGTGCCTGGGTGGCTCAGTCAGTTAAGTGTCTGCCTTTGGCTCAGGTCATGATCCTAGGGTCCTGGGATCGAGCCCCGTATCAGGCGCCCCACTCAGCAGGGAGTCTGCTTTTCCCTCTCCCTCTATCCCTCCCCCTGTTTGTGCTCTCTCTCTCAAATAAATAAATAAATAATCCTAAAAAAAAAAGAAGTTTGTCTCTCTTTTAAAAGAAATTCACAGGTAGATAGTCCAGGGATGCTATGACAACTCCCAGCAGGGGTGTAAATATCCTTCCATCTCTCATCCTTTGGGGGGTAACTTTGTCCTTAGGGACCAGGGTGGTTGCTGGAGCTACTATATCTGTGTTTAAAGTAAGAACCCCTAGGAAGGAAAAGAAAAAAGTGCTTCCTCTCTGTTTTGTTTAATTTATTTATTTTGAGAGAGAGAGATTGAATCTATGTAGGGGGCAGGGGCAGAAGGAGAGGGAGAGAGAATCTCAAGCAGACTCTGTGCTGAGTGCAGAGCCCCACTCGGGGCTTGATCCCATGACTCAGGTTACAATCTGAGCTGAAACCGAGAGTTGGCCACTTAACCAGCTGTGCCACCCAGCAGCCCCTGCTTCCACTCCTTTTTAAGGAGACTTTCTAGAAGTCCCACATACTGCTTCTACCTCCATCTCATTGTTACGTAGCTACACATCTAGCTACAAGGGAGGCAGGTAAATAACAGTGTTTAGCTCGGGAGAGACATTGTATCCACTTTAAAAATGGAGTTCTATCTTTTTTTTTTTTCCTTCCAAATAATTACAGATTCACAGGAAATTGCATGGATAATATAGGGAGGCTCCTGTACTCTTCACCCAGTTTCTCCCAGTGGTTACATCTTACTTAACTGTAGTACAATAGTAAAACCAGTAAATTGGCATCGGTGTAACATGTGTATGTATAGTTCTGTGTAATTTTATCACGCACAGATTTTTGTAATCACCACCACCATCAAGATATAGAACTATTCCATCACTACAAAGATCTTCCTTGTGCTACCCCAAAATAGGGTTCTTTTAATTTGAGAATGAACAGGAAAATGGAAAATGGATATTTTCTTAGGCAACTAACAATCTTTGCCATATGTTATTTTTAAAAACAAAGAAATGTTTGGGGAGAGGATTGTTTTTTAAATCTTTTGTATCACTGTGGATCTGCTTCTTGAATCTTATTTTTATAGAATTTCACTCCTTTTTGTTAGGCTTAAGGAAGTATACCTGGACAAAATGTATGTTAATCTGTACATAATAATAGTTGTAGCTAATACTTAGGGAGTGCCTCCTTTGTACCAGGCAGTGTTCAATTGACTCATTGAATCCTCACCTCAATACCTGTGAGGCAGGTGCTTTTATTCCTCTCGTTCACAAATGCAAACACCTTGTGTTTAATAATTATGTTAACATAGTACTGTTACTTAAAAAAATAGAACTAATGGTATATTCTGTATCATACTATATGATGCCGACAAAGCACTCTGTTTTTAATCTCATTAGAGATTCAGTTGTGGAGATTCTTTTTGAACAAGATAATGAAGAGAAATCAGTTGCCACTTTAATACTGGATTCCCTTATACAGGTATTTTGATTTTGTAAATGTTTCAATTTATGAATACAGCCCCTTAGAGAAAAAAAATTTTTTTAAAGATTATTTGAGAGAGAGAGAGAGCATGGGGGAGGGGCAGAGGGAGAGGGAAAGAGTTTTAAGCAGACTCCATGCTGAGTGGGGAGCCTGATGCCAGGCCCAGTCTCACGACCCTGATATCACAACCTGAGCCCAAACGAAAAGTTGGATGCTTAACTGACTGTCCCACCCAGGCGCCCTGAGAAAAAAAATTTTTAAGTAATCTCTACATCCAATGTGGGGCTTGAATTCACAACCCCATAATCAAGAGTCTTATGCTCTACTGACTGAGCCAGCCAGGCGACCTGAGAAAAATTTTTAAATGTTATTCTGTATTTATATTTTATTTATTTATTTTTAAAGATTTTATTTATTTGACAGAGCACAAGTAGGGGGAGCGGCAGGCAGAGGGAGAGGGAGAAGCAGGTTCCCCACTGAGCAGGGAGCCCGATGTGGGGCTCGATCCCAGGACCCTGAGATCATGACCTGAGCTGAAGGCAGACACTTAACCGACTGAGCCACCCAGGCACCCCTGTATTTATATTTTAGCCACTAGTTACAATTTTTAGCTTTTATGTTAAATTTTACAGTTACCAAGTTTTACTTTGGCACTGAGATAGGGTATTTACAACATGTCAGACTCAGGGATAAGTAGTGCTATCATGTATTATTTCTGTAGCAACAATATCAGATTTTTATTTTGTACGTAGTACAGCTTGTAGTTTCTTTAAATGTGGGTTTGTGTAGTACTGAATTTTAAATTCCACAGGGTGTTTGATAGTATGTTTCTTTTGTTTAATGACTATGGAATCACAGAACTCCATGTGAAATGCCAGCACTTTGGAAGATACTGTCTACCTCTGGCAGTTCTACTCAGAGACTCTTAGAAAAAACATAGCATCAGTGAAAGACTTTAACATTCTGATTTTTAAAACTGATGTAGAAACAATTTTTCCAAGAGTTACCTTCCCACTTGACAAGTGGCTCTGGATATAATAACTGTGAAGTTACCACCTTAGAAAAATTAAGTTTCCACATGCTTTCCGTACTAAAAAAGAAAGTTGTTTTATTTCTTCTCATGTTCTTTGCTCAACTGAGTCATTCTATCCTGAAAATGAGAATACTCACATATAACTACCATATACTCTGTGGAATTTTAAATTCTATACTGTTAGATTTTGCAATGTTTAAAGTTCTATATTAAGTATATGGCAGTATTATCATGGTTATATTTGCTACATGAAAAACTCCCTTGTTAAAGAAACCTTGCTGTGCCTTTTTTTTTTTTTGTAATAGTAATGCTCACCTATTTAATTTGTAATATATAATCTGTATATTTTCTTGAATCCAATCAGGCATTATTTATACAGTTAAGAATAAATTCTTTTCTTTTTTTCTTTCTCTTCGATAACAGTGCCCAATAGACACCAGAAAGCAACTAGCAGAGAATTTGGTAGTCATAGGTGGCACATCTATGTTGCCAGGATTTCTCCACAGATTGCTTGCAGAAATAAGGTATTTGGTAGAAAAACCAAAATATAAAAAAGCACTTGGCACCAAGACATTCCGAATTCATACTCCACCTGCAAAGGCTAATTGTGTGGCCTGGTTGGGAGGTAAGAATTTAGTTTTTAAGATATAATCATTATGTAGTAATTGGTTCCTGAATGGTATTATTAATGGATATATTAGAATAGATGATTCAGTCTTAAAAATTGCTCACTTAACAAACTAATAGAACTATTAAATAATTTTCTTTGAACACTGACTTTTCCTTAAGTTATTGTCAGAATCATATATCTATTTCTCTTGGCATTTGCACTTTAATTTTTTAAGTAAACTTCATCCAATTAGAGTCATTTCTCGTAACAGTGATGGATAGTTGTGCATTTATTCCATTGGTACTACCATTGCTCATAACATTTGTTTTAATTCCTCCTAAAGCCAATTTGTGAGCCATATGTGAGAATTGATCTCTTTATTTTATAATTATACTTTATTTTGGGACTGAGTTCATTGAATGATAGTTGATAAGAAATGATAGTTTCATTGAAATAAGGAAATAGCCTATATACATGTAAAGAGACTATATATAGAGAGAGAAAGAGACTATATATATGTAGAGAGAGACTATTTTGAAGATACATATATATAGGGAGAGAGAGACACTGCTTTGAAGAGAAAAACAATCATGGATGTGTATATTTATATATGTTCTGATATGTGTTTTATAATGCATCTGCAGCTAATGTGTATCTTGATCATTAGGAAAAGTATTGAGATTTTAAATGAATATTATATATATATTTTTTTAAAGATTTTATTTGACAGAGAGAGAGAGCAAGAGAGGGAACACAAACAGGGGGGTGGGAAAGGGAGAAGCAGGCTTCCCACCGAGGAGGGAGCCCGATGCAGGACTCGATCCCAGGACCCTGAGATCATGACCTGAGCCAAAGGCAGTCGCTTAATGAACTGAGCCACCCAGGCACCCCTGAATATTATATTTCTTGTGGAATTTGGTAAAAATGTAATTTTGATCTAGGACAAATGGATTTAGTTACCAAATTGTTTTTTAAAGACTGCCATGTGGGTCTTTATAAAGTCTTCAGCATAGACTTGGGTGGCATTATAATGATGCTTACTGGGTTTTACAGTGCTGTTTTATTTATTGACATACAATCTTAGAGTTGTGGCAAAGAAAACTAAGGCATTATTTACTGTATTTACACAGAATTGAAAATAGTTTCCACCCCTCTCTACCTCACCTGCTTTTAGACACAGTAATGCTTTCTAGCATTTTCACTATAATCTGCTATAGGCCATTTAAGTTACTTTCAACATAGGAGTTGTGGCTTACCCTGTTATTCAAAATATATGATATAAAAGAACTGCAATTACTTTGAAGAGTGTGAATATGCATTACTGAATGTCACCTGTTCTCTCTTGTCATATAATGAAGTGGTTGTATGTGTACATAAAATTTTCTGGTAAAAGTTTTCATCTGAACTATAAAAATATTTTTTTACCACACAGGAGCTATTTTTGGGGCACTGCAGGACATACTTGGGAGCCGTTCAGTCTCAAAGGAGTATTATAATCAGACAGGCCGTATACCTGATTGGTGTTCTCTTAATAACCCACCTTTGGAAATGATGTTTGATGTCGGGAAAGCTCAGCCACCGCTGATGAAGAGAGCCTTTTCCACTGAGAAATAAAATTTGATTGAAATTCAACTTTGCTTTGTATCAAGTAATCAATTACAAGCAAATTGTACAAAGTATACAGGATGCTGTTAGAGATGATTTTATGGAAGTGAAAGCATTTCTGTAGTTACTCTTTGCATTAATATTTAATTCTTTTGACTGTTGTAGTAAAATAGTAGCTGATGCTTATGAAATTTGTTGTATTTATATCAATAAAATACAGTAAAGCAGTTTAATTTTGTAAGTTTGTTATATAGTTTAGTTTACAAAAAGAATAATAATGTTGTCCCTCCACAGTTCACATAATCTGCCCTGAGCATTGGAGAATCCATCAGTTTCATTATTTTTAGCAGTTGTTTCATTTAAAGAAGAAATAATGTTACCATTACCAGGTATTTCAAATATTAACATGGGTCTCTTCAAATCCTTTTGTTTTGGTATTTATCTGTCCATGTTAGAATGCTACTTTTCCAGGAATATATTTGACCCTTTGGACTGAGAATGTTTAGTAGATTAGGTAGACGTTTGTTAAGCAAAGTATGGAAATGTTTCCTTTTTAACTTTACAGTTTCTTTATGAATAATTCTACATTTCTAAGAAGAAAGATATTTCATTTTTATGTGAAGATATTTCATTTTATGTATTTTTATGAAACTGCTTTATAAACATGTATTCATAATGTTTTTAATCTCTTTTGTACTTTTTATCTTCTCAGGATAGGGGTTCTTGGAAATGTGTACTCAGTCACTGTTTAATTTTAATTTTTATTCTTGATTTGTTTTTAACAAACTATCTCTTACTGAAATTTTGCTGGTTTTATTCTTTCCAGGTGCCTATGAAAGTACATACACCTATTCCTGAAGAATGTACTCATATTCCTGAAGACAGAGTAGGAATTGATACATTTTCTGGACTGTGTAACCCATGTCCATTCTTACTTATAGTTTAATCATTTTTGATTGTCCTTTTTGTGTCCTTCCTAGTTTTGCCATATACTTTATGTGTGAAGATACCAGCACCAACTAACACTTGAAAGAGCTGGTTCCTGGCATTAAGAATAGGAAAGAATTTTAAGGGGAAAAAAAAAAAGGAACTGGTGTGTGTGTGTGTGTGTGCGCGCATTTAAAAACACTAGCTGTACTTGGTCACCATGTACTACTATGATAGTAGCACAAAACTAAGATTCATTCAGTATTTATTGACTGCTGTGTGTATAGTGTAGTTTCAGACACTAAGTGCTACAACAGTAAGACATGGACCTTTACCCTTAGGAGGTTTTCAGATTAACAGAAGTGGCTGGTACACAACTGATGATACAGACAGAATGTGGTAGCAGCCTTAAGGATACCATCTGTTTGTTATTGATGTAGTTAACTTTTTTTTTCATGTAAATAATATTTGGGGTTTTTTTTTTAATTCAATAAGCCAACATATAGTACATCATCAGTTTCAGATGTAGAGTTCAATAATTCATGAGTTGTATATAACACCCAGTACTGATCACATCACGTGCCCCCCTTAACACCCACTACCCGGTTACCCCATCCCTCAACCCATCTCCAGATGTAGTTAATTCTGAGGAGGGAGTTGAAGAAAGCTATATACTTGCACCCTTGTTCCTGAAGGATGAGTAGAATTTTAATAATTGGAGTTACTCCAGTCTATGTGAACTGAATTCTCTATACAAAATCTTAAAACATTTGGCATTGGGATGAAGCATTGCTAATTATAATTTAGGGTTGGGTCATGAAGAACTTGAAAACTATATTAAAAGCAGTGACTAAAACTATGAAAGATCACTTTTGCCCTCCAGTTTCCTAATATATTCATTCTGAAAAGTGAGGTTCTTTTATCCTTTGGACCTGTCACTCTTCGATAGCACCCTTCCCCCAAAGTAGTCATTTTCCCCATAGGCACATATCTATAACTGATGCACTTACAACTTTCACCTTGTAATTGTCTCTACACAGGTTTTATCTTTTCTGGGATGTAAGCTCCGTAAGAACAAAGCCCCTTTATTTCTTAACTTTGAAAGCTCTCAGTGGAATTGCCAGGAGTAGGTGTACCATTAGTTGTCAATAGTATGGATTCACTAGTAGCATTATTTTTTGTAGTAAACGTGATTTTTTAAAATTCTGTTGAATGAAGAGGTTTTTCATCACTGAGTAGGATGAAAAAGATCTCTGACTAAAATACAGATTTATAGGTAGGTAGCTATAAAGTGACAGACACCTATTGGTTGAGGTTAAGGAATGGAGCCCTCTGTTAGGGGTTGAATTGTGTGCTGCAGAAAGATATGTTGAAGTCCTAACCTCCAGTACCTGTGAATATGGCCTTATTTGGAAATAGAGTCTTTGCAGATATAATCAAATTAACATGAGGTCATTATGGTAGACCCTAACCCAATATGACCGGTATCCTTATAAGGTGAGGGGAATGCCATGTGAGACGTACACAGGGAGAAAACAGGTAATAACCAAGGCGGAAATGGGAGTTCTGCAGCTGCAAGCCAGGGAACACCAAGGATTGCTGGTGACACCAGAAACAAGCATAAAATGTTCAAGAGAGCCTGTCAGAGCTTGACTCAGTGTACACCTCGATTTTAAGCTTCTAGCTTCCAGAACTGAGAGACAATAAATTTCCATTGTTTTAAGCCACCCAGTTTGTAGTACTTTGTTAGAGCAGCCCAGGGGAACTAATACACCCTACTTAATTCACCAGTTCAGCATGTATTTATTGAACATCTGCCAGATACTTATTTAGGTGCTTGCCATACAATGAGCCAAGACAAAAATCTGCCATTCAGAGGGGTGGGGAAAGTGAAGAAACATAGTAACAGTAACTTAGAAAATAACTTTCGGGAAAAACTGTAGGGTAAAGTAGATGGTGGGGTAGTTGCTGATTAGAACAGTGGTTAGGGTTGGGCTCATTTATGACTTGAACAAAGAGAAGTTAGGCAAGTGTGATGTAAATACGTATTTGGTCTCCGTCCCTGGTTCCTGACACAGAGCTGCCTAAAACCTTTGTAATTTCCTGTGTGATGGGGGTGTTAGGAGCATCTTATACAGAAATCCTAAATCCCTTGGAATTTCTTGGGTAATAGGCGTGTCTTTTTTCTAATGAGACAATTCTTGATGGGTTCCTGGATCACTTCAGGATGAGGGGCTGTTCACCAGAAAGACCCAAGCCACAGAAGCTTAGAATTTTTGCACATGCACACACACCCTGTCTTCTAGGGAGAGGAGAGGGATGGGAAATTGAGTTAATAATCATGCCTAACTGTTGAAGCCTCCATTAAAAATCCCTAACCTGCAGGGTTCAGAGAGCTCCCAGGATGGTGAACACATCCCGGGCACTGGGAGGAGGATGCGCCAGAAGACAGCATGGAAGCCTTGCCTCCGTAGGGAAGGCACCTCTTCCATACGGCGGTTCTGAGTTGTAGCCATAATAAACCAGGAATAAGTAAACTTTTTCCAAGTTCTGTGAGCCATTCTAGGAAATTATCAACCTGGAGGAGAGGATTATGGGAATCCCTGAATTTTAGCCAATTGGTCAGAAGTGCAGGAGGCCTGGGATCACATTGCAGACTCACAGAAAATCCACTTGAGACAAATTGGTCACTGTCCAACTGGAAACAGCAAACATCCTCTTGCTAAATGAGTGACTTTACCAATCTCAGCTTTATCCCTATTTTAGTCTATTCTTCCTATTAATAAGTTTTATGGAGATGGTAGAATTGCCCTTGCTTTTGAGAACAGGGGTCCCCACCCCCGCAAAATTACCCAAGGAAAGCCCAGATCCTATAATAGGTTCTTTCTTTTTTTTTTTTTTTTAAGATTTTATCCATTTATTTGACAGAGACACAGCGAGAGAGAGAACACAAGCAGGGGGAGTGGGAGAGGGAGAAGCCAGCTTCCCGCTGAGCTGGGAGCCCGATGCGGGGCTCGATGCGGGGCTCGATGCGGGGCTCGATGCGGGGCTCGATGCGGGGCTCGATGCGGGGCTCGATCCCAGGACCCTGGGACCATGACCCGAGCCGAAGGCAGATGCCTAACGACTGAGCCAGCCAGGCGCCCCTATAACAGGTTTTTTCTAACACCCTCATAACAGACACCCCACATCCCTCTATGCGATGTATAATAAACCAAACTGGTTCAACTACAGGTGTGGTTTTTTGGTCTTTTTTGAAGGGGATGGGAGACGAATGGTGAGCGTAGACACTGCAGAGAAATAGAATGGTAACCGCCTGCGGGAAAATTAGGTCAAAGGTTTTGTTCTGTTTTAAGATAAAGAAATAAAAGCATGTTTGTTTGTTGAAGGAAGGGAGAGGAAAAAATGGTCGTTTAGTAGGAGGAAAGCCGCTGGATAACAAGCGGAGGTATAGGCACTGGTGCTTTAGGTGCGGTTGGCTTGGGTTGGGAGCCCGGATCGTGCCCCTCTTGGCGGGGTCAGTGAGCTCCTGGGACCGGCCTTCGGGCGGCGTGCTTTCTCTTTCAGATCACTTCAAACTTAGCGGGGAAGAAGGCGGAAGTCCTGCCTCCCCAAATACCTAATTGCCTCTCCGAATTTTCACATCTCCGTTCTCTTGTGCCTCTGTGTCAAAGAGCCTCACCTTTAACAATACTAACCTCCCAATTTCCACCCAATTGGATGGATGGATCCCAAGTACAGTCCCAGGAACAATGGGAGAAAACTTGATCTATGCACGGTCTACGTAGAGCCGGCCACAGAAAGAAACTTTTCTCACGGTGTTACTTCTTTATTCCTCCAGGGGGTATTCCTCGCCCGCCTCCCGCCCCTTTCCTCAGGACACGCCCTATATTGAGAGGAAGAAAACGTAAAATAGACGTGAAAGGAAGACAGCTTTTACACAGGATCTTGGAAAGTTCTTGGAAAGCTGCCAAAATTGGCGCTCATCATTTTGTTCTAACAAAAGGAAAAATCGCCCTCTACCAACAGCTATGCAAGTATGTATAACATAAATAACACAGAAAACCAGTCTCGACTTTAAACCTTTCAGTGTCCTCTGTGCCTTAAGGTGGCGGTTGGGGGAGGCGTCGCGGAAGAGAAACGTTTACTTTCAAGTGCGCAAGCGTGAGACCTGTTTTGTTTGCAAAATGAAGTCTTTTTTCCATAGATTTGGCTAATGTTGAAAGTATTTGCATTAATTTGGTTTAAAGACCTCTCCTTAGTTATAATACTTTGGAGAAACCCCAAAATGTTTAGGTGAA